AGCGCCTGGTGGTGGTGATCACCAGCCTCGAGGACAACGAGGTCCTGGAGCGGTGGCAGTTTGACATAGAGAGTGACAAAACTGCCAAGAGTGACAAGTGAGTAACAAGTGTCCCTCTATGCCTGCTCTTCCCTATTCCAAGTAGCTGTTCAGGCACAGAATCAATGCCATGTACTTCTTCCTTCAAACCTTTCTTATTGCCCTTCTTTCTGTTGGTCTGCCAAACATTCATTATATGATCGAAACATGCATAATGCTTAGGCATAATTTGTTTTTAAGGCATCAGATCAAACCTTGATTTTTAATCCTCAACAAAGTATCAGGTACATGCCCTAAAGAACTACTGCTCTCCTGTTATGCCAAACTATTCTCACCCATTTTGGACTGAGAATAAATGTAACATTCCTTACAAATACTGAGAAGCTTCACAAACAACAAAGGGAGACTAGCTATCACTTAACTTTTCTAAGCCTGTGTACTACTTAGGGCTTAAAGGTGTCACTACTACAAAAATACTGTAGCAAACAGACCTACAGAGATTAATAGAGATTCCTGTATTTACAGGAAACTCAGCTCAGTAGAAGCTTACTTGCTTACCAGTGTTTTCTTATTCTTCCAGTAAACCACGAGAGAAAACTCAGAAAGCAATTCAGGATGAAATTCGCTCTGTCATCAGACAGATAACTGCCACAGTAACTTTCCTGCCACTCCTGGAATCTGCCTGTGAGTATTCTAAACTTCACCAAAGAAACCGAACACTTTGGGGAAACCTCAGTAACTTTTCCTCTACAGAAAACATGTTCTGAGGCTTTTTAATTCATGGAATCATAGAATTTTAAGGGTTGGAATAGACCTTACAGATCATCTAGTCACAACCCCTGCCCTGGGCAGGGACACCTCCCACCAGACCAGGTTGCTCAAGGCTTATGTGGCCTATATATGTCATGTACCATCACATTTCTACAACAGCATTTTGTTAGACTGAGATCAGGAGAGAGCTCAGGGTTGCTTAACTGACTTAAGGAAACCAGGATGTAAGAAATCTGTTTTCATAAGTAATCATTTATTTTGGGACTGTAGCTGTGGACAGGCTTGTGTAACCACCAAGTTCATGTGAAGTGTCACACAGAGCTCAGCTCCACAGCATTTTAACAAGTTGAAAAAAAACAGACACCACTTGCATGAGAACTAAAATGGCTTTGTGTGAATATAACCAGGATTTGTTTTCATGTTTTAACTACTTTGTTTTCATATACCTAGTATCAGTGTTAACTTCTGAGAACACTTGTACATCTCAAGTTCCAGAAGATACACTTTGACTTCAAACTTGCCATGTCCTTGTGTGTTTACTACTACTAATTTCTTCCTCCCTGCTTACAGGTGCCTTTGATTTGCTGATATACACAAACAAAGATTTGGTAGTGCCAGAAAAGTGGGAAGAGTCAGGACCACAATTCATAGCCAATTCAGAAGAGGTCCGTCTGCGTTCCTTCACCACCACCATCCACAAGGTCAACACCATAGTGGCCTACAAAAAGGATTCTCTTGCCTAAGATTTCAAGGAAACTTGTGTATTTATATCCTGTCACCTTGTATAGTTTCTGTTCAGTGTGCCATGAACGCATCCTTACTGTTGCTCTTGCTTAAGTATGACACAACTAAAGACAACATGCCTGTCTGTGATAATGTAACACTAGACTAAGCAGGCATTGTTTTTAAAGAGGTTTAAAAAAGGTATTCACAGCGACAGCTCAGTTCTTGCTTCACTGTATGAGCTAAAGTAATGGTGTGTTAAAACTGCTTCACTAGAAAAACTGCCTCAGCCTGGGATTAGCTGCTACAATTGCACTCTGATCCTGTAATTTTATATTTTAAGATTATTTTTTAAACTGCATTCTAATAGGAGGCTCAAATTCTTCCTGGCAACTAAAGTCTCACTCCTGACATGCCAGTTCCCATGTTAAAACAGCCCAGGCTTTTATCACCAGAACAACCCTAAAGTAAACCAACAGAACAATTCTCATACCTCTGTCCAGTGGAAGCAGCTGTTCATCAGGAAAGCTCTAAGTACCTGAAGCTTGTATTTTAGTGATGCCTGGGCTCTCTTTCTGGGGTTGGTGGTGTTCCAAGTCTGTGTGTGTCTGTAGTGTCTGTCGAGCATTCTCTATGTCTGCACTCTTGTTTTATGGAATAAAGCTTCCAATTTTATACTGTTCTCTAATTCTGTCTGCAGTACTTCATGTTTTAGATGGTTTTATGAGTCCTACATCTCAGTTTGCAACTGTCATACATCCAACACCCTAAAGGCATCCTAGTTGTGTTGTTATTTAACTGTTTCCTGAGTCTCAAAACAAGTGTTGTGCAGTCAATAGGAAATCTATTAATGGATTAAGTCTGCCCCCTACTTCAGCCTTCAAACAATAGTATAAATAGTCACAGTGAGCTCATGATTAAGCACAGTACCTTCCATCTTTGTTACACAGCACAGGACTCTTCCTGTGTTCACCCATTTTTGTACTGGAAGAAATTAGGATTTAAAAGTGTGTTAATAGAATTTTCAGGCTCTTCCATGGTTTTTGTTCATTTCCTTCACCAAATTCATTCCAGACAGTATTTAGCTTTTTTCACTCTTCTACAGTGACACAGGGCTCTTCCTGTTATAATACAACAATCTCAGAAGTTTATTTAAAAAACATTATATATGTTCCACTGCTGTATTACAAAGTTTCTGGGCTTTCCCACCAGGAAATAGTTCTCTCCACCAGTCCCAACCTAGCCGAAGGAAGAAGGCAATCTCTTCCCACCAGGAAATAGTTCTCTCCACCGAAGGAAGAAGGCAATCTTCTGTAAATCAGTAGCACAGAACCATGTCTTTTCTGTTGTCAATAAATACAATCTATGTACTTAAAAGGTCACATTATTCACTACTTGGGTTTGCACTGCAGTAACAGAAATACCTGGTGGTTTCTTCTGCCTGTCAGCACTACTGTTAAACAGGTGAGTGCACCACCCCTTCACATCTGGAAACAGGTGCACTTCAAGGAGCACAACATCAAGCTTGCTCTGGGGGGAGGATGTGATCAAAGCAGTGAGTGCAAGTGCCCTCTAAGAGGAACTGACAACCCCTGCTTTATACCAAAGATGAGATCAGCAAGGAACTGGTACAGAGCCTGCAACACTGAGCATAAAAAAACTTGTTTTACAGAGATGCAGAAGTCAAATTGCTCCAGGAAGTTGAAGTCACTTCTTTCTTGTACCAAATAGTATTTATCTTCTTTAAGAAGGACCAGCCTAAAGACCATATCCATCATTATCTCTATGGGGTTTGTTTTCCAGAGGCACCAAGGGTCAAGAGAGACAGTGTATCATTGCCCAGAGATAATGTCCATGAAAGGTACATGTATGTCAAAAGAAATAGGTTATAAATCCTGAAGTTTTCACAAGACACCCTGCAAAACAGGAAAGAACGAAAAAAAATGTCAGTCATATTAATGCAACCTCCCAGAAGCCAAACATTCACAGAGGTGTCCAACAGGATGTGCTGATTGCTAATGGGACCCACAGTCCTTCATTAGTTTCCCCTGCTCTGATGCTCATTTCTGTAGAGCGACACATCAAAACCAAGGGAGGTCCCCTCATCTCCCATGGCAGTATGGTTATTCTTAGGAAAGGGAATAAAGGGCAAGGTTCAGAATCTGCACATCAGGCACTGCTCACCTGACTAGTTGAGCTGACGTATAAGCTGGTTGATTGCTTCACCTCTGTATCCAGGCTTGCCCATTTCCTTGAGGAAGCCCACTTTGTTACGCGAGGCATGGCGAGCCACCGACAGGTGGAACGGAGACAGAAAGCTTGTGACTCTTTTGAAATGCTTCCCAGCTGAGCACACTTCGTGAATAAGATCTTCCAGGCAAATAATACCACAGCTCCCTACAGAAACAAAAAGAGATGGCCAACTGTAATATCCTTCTTCACACTGCTCCAGAATTGCCAGTTCTCCATATGTAAGTCTTGCAAGACTTTTCTCCCTCCCCACCCTCTCAGGTCAGACTGCAAACTCTCAACATCTGCCTCTTTCCTCAATTTCCTCACCCTCTTCCTCACCTAAATGTTCTTCTATCAGCATATTGTCTGTCAGAGGAACCTTCTTTTTCTTGATCTTGGCCTGGCCCCGTTTCAGGATGAGCTCTCGTACAGATTTCAGGTTAGGGTGTCTGTACAACAAAAATCACATGCTGCAATGGAAACACATGATACAGCAAGAAGTACCACCCTACTTCCTTGTACAGAGGTGCGAAAGTAACCAAGTTATACTGAGAACAAGAAGAAAATGGACAGTGAAAAGTTTTAGGTACAAAATTGATGAAGTTTTGACCATTAGATTCAGATTAGATGTTAGGAAAAATGTTTACTCTGTTAGGGTGTTCAGGCACTGGAATACTGCCCAGGGATGTGGTGGAGTCACCAGCCCTGGAGGTGTTTAAGAGGTGTCTGGATCTGGCACTAGAGATCTGGTTTAGGGCTTAGGGGTTACAGCAGTGACAGGTTAATGGTTGGACTCAATGATCTTAGAGGTCTCCTCCAGCTTTGATGATTCTGTGATTACTGGAAAAACAGCTACGGATCTGTGACACCACATGGAGAATCAAAAAGCAGTGACACACACACAGACTACTGCCAGCTCAGAGGAGCAGCACATACCCCCACGCTACGTAAGGTTCCACAATCCTCAGCATCTTCAGCGATAACGGGGTCAGCTTAACAAACACCCCAGTGAAATTCTTCTTCAGCCGCAGCAACTCAATCACTTTTTCTACCCTCTTAGTCACTCCCTGAATACTGAAACAGAGAAAAACAACATTAGTAATTGCATTTCTCTAACACAGCAACAAAAAGCCTCAGCAAGGAGAAGTGTCTGTGATGATCACACTTCCTTGGGGTGGAAATGACGCCATGAACAGGAGCAATAATAAAGGTCAGGAGTCAGGAAGTTTCTTACTCCGCAATTCTGACGACGAAGGCCAGTTTGTGCTCCTGAGGAGCAGCTGCCTGCCCAGGTCTGTGCTCCATGCGCTGCAGCCGGGTGTCATCTCGGTGCTTGCGCCACGAATCTCGAACAAAAGTCTCGAGGCGTCTAAACTGGATCTGCTTCCCCTTCTGCTGCTACAGGCAAAAGGAAAAGAAAGTGTCACCTATCCCAACAATCACAGAGGTTTGCATCTGACAGGCCAAATGAAAATCAGAGCTTGATGAACTATGTTCTTTCAGCTTTGGAAGCAGGTAAGAGGAAAATGAATTTGATCATCTAAGCCCAAGGGAGACAGAACTGAGGGACAACACATGAATTTACAGGCAGCTAGCTAGAACTTGAGTACACTGAACAAAGAGGTTTTTCCCCAGGAAAAAGATGTATTAGGAAAACAGAGCAAGACCCAGGATGCTTCTAGGCATAGAAGAAATCAAATGGAAGCATTTACAGCCACAGACAGATCTTCATAGCTACACACACTGCTCAGGCAATCACTGGCAAAGCCAGAAACAACATCTGGGCAAAACACACTACAGCAATACCCAAGTGTGGCTCAAAATTGCCACCCAACAGAGAATAACTGGGTTTAAAGTCCTCTTCTGTAAAAGCACACATGCAAAATAAATAATACAAGCATTCAAATAACCCTTCAGTATTGCTAATTTAAACACAGGACATCCAGCTCACTTGAAAAAAAATATTTCAGAATTACAGGAAAGTTTAAAGCATTTTTTAAATTAAAAAGATGTTTCAATGCCTCTCCTTAGCTCAGGAGAGAGTACACCCACATAAACATAGTGCTTTACCACATCAATGGGAGCTGGATACACATGGTAGTTACACAGTATTCTAGATGCACTACTGGTTAAATTACTAGGCCATTTTGAAGAGCCTACTGTTACTTGCCTTCTATTTCACCTTGTAAATCACCCATGAAATTGAACTAGCAGGAGTTTTACACATAATCCCACCAAATCCACGGAAACTTACTCACTGGGAAAGCTTTAAGCCATTTCCAAGACAGGCACTGGCTGTACCAGCTGAGATAAAGAAAGCAGGCCTCAAATTTGGAATTACGTTTGCTGTGCTCTGCGAGTCTGGAACTGACACATTGCGCACGGGGACAATCAACATTAGCAACATGTGCCGTCCCACACACAGAAAAGGCTTCACAATGAGCTGTCTCTGCTCTAACAGACAGACAACCAACTTTAAACACACTCTCAGAAAAGCACAGTCTCCCCAAGGGTTTACTCTGCAAAGGTGAACTGGTTTCAGAAAGCAGAAACAACTCAGCAGCTCCTCACGTGTGGCTGTACACACACACACCTTGGTCACTACTGATCTAAGAGGAACAGCGTTCAATAAAATTATGTTTCAGTGTAACAAGCCAGAGAGTTGTTGCACCTTTACAGGGTGCAGAGACATGCTGGAGAAGAGACTGAAGAGACAGAATCATAGAATTAGAATCACAGAATTTCAGGGGCTAGAATAGATCATTTAGTCCTAACCTCCCACTGCCCTGGGCAGGGACACCTCCCACCAGAGCAGGTTGTTTAAGGCTTCATCCAGCCTGGCCTTGAACACTGCCAGGGTTGGGG